TTTTTTGAGACAGAGTCTCGCTGTGTCACCCAGGCTGGAGTGCAGTGGCGTGATCTTGGCTCACTGCAAGCTCCGGCTCCCAGGTTCACGCCATTCTCCTGCCTCAGCCTCCCAAGTAGCTGGGACTACAGGCGCCCACCACCACATCCGGCTAATCTTTTTTTGTATTTTTAGTAGAGACGGGGTTTCACCATGTTAGCCAGAATGGTCTCTATCTCCTGACCTTGTGATCCGCCTGCCTTGGCCTCCCAAAGTGCTGGGATTACAGGCCTTGAGCCACCATGCCCGGCCCAGCCCACACCATTTCTATTTTGCATTTACTGTCTTAAGAATCTGGGTGTAATCAAAGTTTTGGTTAACATCTACCATCTTTTAGGGAACACAAATGTGGTACAAATTAATTCAGACACCTCAGTTTTAGAGTAAGAAAGAAAAACTACATGAACAATGAATTGGCAATTCTGGAATTCACTAGTCCCGATCTAGCTTGACAAACACAAATGAGATCCAGGACTACATAAACAAAGGCCTTTTCACCTCTGGGGCAGATCATGAGATTGCCCGCGACTGAAAATCTGTTTATTTGAACATGGTTCTCTGTATACTTAAAGTTCACTAGTTTCAACAGTGTTTGGGGTTTTTCGGTTTAGGAAGCTAGTGTTGAGGTCGATATGAGGATGGGGGAGGAGGTTAGCCCTGGATTTCTGTTCAACTGTTTTGCAAATGTACACCATTGGTCATAAGGGAGATGTCAACATTGCAAACACCACTCATTGTTTAAGAAAATACAAATCAACACCATTTTTTTGTACAACAAAAGGTTGTGTTTTCTGTGTTAAATGTAATGGTTAAAGGTATAAAGTATGTGTTTTGTTTGTTTGTTTGTTTTTTGAGAGAGTCTCGCTCTGTAGCCCAGGCTGGAAGAGCAGTGGCACGATCTCGGCTCACTGCAAGCTCCGCCTCCCGGGTTCACGCCATTCTCCTGCCTCAGCCTGAGTAGCTGGTACCACAGGCGCCCGCCACCACGCCGAGCCACTGTGCCCGGCCTAAAGTATGTGTTTTTTTTTTTTTTGAGGCAGAGTCTCGCTCTGCCGCCCAGGCTGGAGTGCAGTGGCGTGATCTTGGCTCACTGCAAGCTCCGCCTCCCGGGTTCATGCCATTCTCCTGCCTCAGCCTTCCGAGTAGCTGGGACTACAGGCGCCCGCCACCTCGCCCGGCTAGTTTTTTGTATTTTTTAGTAGAGACGGGGTTTCACCGTGTTAGCCAGGATGGTCTCGATCTCCTGACCTCGTGATCCGCCCGTCTCGGCCTCCCAAAGTGCTGGGATTACAGGCTTGAGCCACCGCGCCCGGCCAAGTATGTGTTTTATTAAAAAAAAAAAAAAAATGAACCCCAGGAATTAGGACTGCTTAAACAGATCCTTCTAGTCTGTTCAAGTGCTGGGCAATCATTCTTCGATTCTAAACTGCCCAGCTAATTAGAGCTATAATAATTTGCTTATCAGGCTACTGTAACAGATTCCAAATTTCCAATAAAACTAATAGCTTTATACTATTTCATTTTCGTTGTGCAGACAAAAAAGAAAAAAAATGACTATAGCATTAACAACAACAACAAAAAATTCTGTAAGCTGTCACTGCCAAAAGGAAGGACAGGCCAGACGCGGTGCCTCACGCCTGTAATCTCAACACTTTGAGAGGCTCTCTTGAGCCTAGACGCTCAAGACCAGCCAGGGCAACATGGTGACACCCCGTCTCTACAAAAAGTTAAAAAATTAGCCGGGCGCGGTGGCTTATGTCTGTAATCCCAGCACTTTGGGAGGTCAAGGCGGACGGATCACTAGGTCAGGAGACCGAGACCATCCTGGCCAACATGGTGAAACCCCCTCTCTACTGAAAATACAAAAATTCGCCTGGCGTGGTGAGGCCTGCCTGCAATCCCAGGTACTCCGGAGGCTGAGGCAGGAGAATTGCTTGAAACGGGGAGGCGGAAGTTACAGTGAGCCTAGATCGTGCCACTGCACTCCAGCCTAGGGGCAGAGACTCCTTCTCAAAAAAACAAAAAACAAAAAACAAAAAAACTCAGCATGGTGGTTCGCACCTATTGTCTCAGCTATTCAGGAGGCTGAGGTAGGAGGATAACCTGAGCCCAGGGAGGTCGAGGCTGCAGTGAGCTGTGATTTTGCCATTCCACAAGACAAGAGTGAGACCTTGTCTCAAAAAAAAAAAAAAAAAAAAAAAAAAAAAAAAGAAAAAGACAGTTGATGTCAAAAGATACAGTATAAAAATTTAAAGCTCTATGCAGTGCTTTTGGTCATCATGAAACTAAATTATTTGGAATCCAAAAGCCTCTTCTCAGATACTTATTTCATCTGGAAGCCACCAAATCCTGATCGATTCCGTCAACAACAGATGTTTTTTACCTTTTCATGCCATCATTATAAGCTTTACCTCCTACTGCTGAAACAAATAACTTCCTATAATTACACATAGTAATAAAATAAAAAAACTATGGCAGCTGAGATGCCAATAGATTTGAGCCAAAAAGGGCTGGCTCTTTTATGAACTCACGCTGTGGTGAAGAAAAACAAACTTAAAACACACACACACACACACACACACACACACACACACACACACACACCCCCCTTGCAAGAAAGCAAACGGGGAAGACAAATTTAGCAGCAGTTCTCTTGAATTTCCTGGCTTTGTTGATTTCGAACCACAACGTTAGCAATAAAACACCAAGACTCACATTTAAATATTTCTTTTGAAATCAGAAAAACAATAGCTCTTTCAGGATTTGAAATGACGCTTGAAAGCACACAATAGATTCTATTGGGTCAATGTATTATTTACATACGCATCTGAGACTTCAAAAAGAAGTTAAATGGGAGATGTTCTCAACAGGCAGAAATAAGATATTCCAATCTATTGTTCAAGTTTATGGCTCAGATATAAATAATGGGCTATAAACCCGTATCTGGAAAACAGTTGCGCAGTGCGTGCTTCATAGCCAGCCAATGAAAAGCAACGTCTCATTCTACTCGGTCTTCCAGCACGTCAAAAGACATCCCACCCTTTTTTTTTTTTTTTTTTTTTTTCCAAAGAAGCCAACCTCTGGGGACACCGGGTTTTAGCACCTTTGTGAGGCCTCCGGGCAGCACAGGAAGCTCTCTAAGGGGCACGCTCTGCAGTTGAGCTATTTGCAGAACGCCATGATCGCTCAAAGCCCAGCACGCGCACGGGTCTGCTACTGGCACCAGCACAAGGCTTTAGACAGCCACTTCCCACGGCTGAGTTCTAGCCATCCCCTCTTTAAAACGTATTCCCTCCACCCTGCAAGGGTGGGGTGAGAAATCTCACTTTCGAAGTGCTTGCAGGGCGGAAGAGTCCGCCTTGCGGACGCCCCGGCCGCGCTTCAAGGTTCACACGCCGCATGGCCACTCGAACGCAGCCCGGTTTCGAGGCAGTCAGCTGTCGAGACTGGGGCCTCAAGCCAAGAAGGAAAGAACAAAGGGGCCGCGTTCGCCCGCCGCCCCGGGGGAAGGCCCGGGCGCGCCCGCCGTTCCGCCCATACCCCGCCCCTCGGCCGCGCGAAATGGCGGCGACCGCACCACAAAATGGCAGTCGCTCGGCCGCGAAGAGGCACCTGCTAGATGCCGTGGCTTCCTCCCCCCGCCCTGGCCCCGCGAGCGCCAACGTCGTTCTACCCGCCCAGGCGCCCCAGTCTTCCCACGCCGCCCCGCCCAGGGCGCCCGGCGTCACCTGCGACCGCGTCCGGGGCCGCCAAGAACGCGGCGCCTTTGTGCGGGCGCACGCTACCTTTACTCGGCCACACGGGCCCTTCTCGGGGGCTTTCCTTAAAGGGGAAACGGCTGGAAGCGACGGAACACCGCCGCCCAGGGCGCCCCTCAGACTCGGGGTTACTACGGTTTCCCCACACTCGCAGCGTTAGCGTCAGGCCACCAAAGTGAAGACGGGCGGGGAAGAGACTACAGAGCCCGAGAGGAGGGAAAACCTAGAAAAAATTAGTGAAAGACGTCCCCAACCCAATGCTTCGGCGGCCACGCTGAGTCCTAACGTACTGAGCCCACTCGAGGGGGCCCGTGCGCGGAGGCGGCTCCAAAGCCTGGGTTTCGGCTTTCTTTCCACCTCGCAAACGTCCAGTGGGCGCTCTACGCTTCTCATGGCTACCCCCTGCCCTCTCCCCATGCTGAGGAATCTCGGGGGCTAAGCAGTGGCAGAGGGAGGAGCGGCTGCCACGGTCCCTATGCTTTTTCCCAGGCATGAGGGTCTCAGTGGACTTGGGCTCTGTTTGGGCCGTGGCTCGAAGGTTGGAGGTGTGGCGGTGTGCTTGGGGTTTTTCGCTTTCTTTCAAACGCTTGCTTCCTTGCGCTCCCCACCCCCCAGCATCCCTTTGGCTCCGTCTTTCCAGAAACTTCTCACAGAAACTCGCCAAAAAGCCTCCGACTTCGCTACCGCTTTCCTCTCCGCGCATGCGCGAGACGCCGGGCGGAAAGCCCGGGGCGCGCCGGAGTGTGAGAGTGGTGCGTGAGCGCGCGCGCGCTCGCCGTGCGGGGGCGGTTCTCTCTCACAAAGAAGGGAAAGGGTTCCCCCTCCCCCCAACATTCCGTCCCCGCGCAAGCGCGTCGGAGCCACTTCCTTGGCCTTTGAGGGAAGCGGGAGGGGTCGTCCCAAAGCGCGCTAGTCGTGGTTCCGCGCGCCTGCGCCCGTGGTCGTTTTTATCTCCCTGTGTTGTCACCGAGTCTTTGATGTGAAGTGCGTCTGAACAGCTCGCTTGCGCCCGACCCACTTTTTCCTCAAGGCCCATTCGCGGCAACTAGCTTCTTGTGGGGTTATCGATTCTGTACTCCGAGTTTCCGGGAGATTAGTCTCCCCTTTGCGCCCCGGGAATGAGGCTGCCTTCCACCCCTGCCTGCGCCATGTTTGGAACGGCTCTTGAGTGGAGCCGTGTGGAGTGTGGTGGAGTCTTCTCGAAACGGGAAAACAGTCCTGACCCAAGGCTTGGGTGGTGCCCCGACCGGCTTACGTTAGGCACTGCGTGGAATGTTTACTCACTAAACCCAAAGAAAGGTGTCTTTTTTTTTTTTTCTTTTTTTGACACGGAGTCTCACTCTTGTTACCCAGGCTGGAGTGCAGTGGTGCAGTCTCGGCTCGCTGCAACCTCCGCCTCTCGGGTTCAAGCCATTCTCTTGCCTCAGCCTCCTATGTTGCTGGGACTACAGGCGGCGGCCAATACGCTCGGGTAATTTTTGTATGTTTAGTAGAGACGGGGTTTCACCATGTTGGTCAGGCTTGTCTCGACCTCCTGACCTCAGTTGATCTGCCCACCTTGGCCTCCCAAAGTGCTGGGATTACAGGCTTGAGCCACCCCGCCCAGCTTTCCTCCCATCTGGCCCCTCGCTGGGAGTTGGGTTCTGGCTGTGTTCCCCAGGCTGCTTTGGCACTCCTGACGTCAAGAGATCCTTCCGCCTGTGCTTCCAAAGTGCTGAGATTACAGGTGTGAGCCGCCATGCCCGGCCTTTTTTAAAAAAAATAATTAAAATGGTCTTAAAAGGTGTCATTTTCATTGGAACGGGGTGGGGCTCCTAGTGCCCGCCACAGTCCTCCGCTCAGGCTGGCGGGGCGGGCCCTAGGCTCAGGCTAGGTGCGTGGGTGCAGAGGGCCTAGGCCGCAGCTGCTTCTCCCTCTGCCGAATTGAGCTGGGCGGTGGTAACCATAGTGACCGCACTTGCTCTTCGTTCAGTGCCTCCCCTCCCTCTTGTCCCTTAGGAGTGTGGTGGAAATTATTGCTGGGGTTTTGGGTTCTTCAAAATACAAAAAGCCAAACCAAAATGAAAAAAACCCTCTTGTGTAATCAACTTCCCCTGTTTGCAAAGTTCGGGGAACCCGGGCGGCTTGCCTCTGTCTCACGCCTGCGCGCTCTCCTTGCCAGGCTGCCCGGTCAAGGACCCTCGCGTCCCTGCTGGCATAGCCACTTCCCTAGATGTATTGTCTTGTGACGCACCCCCAAGTCCCTGTAGGTGCAAGGCTTTAAAAAAGAGAGCTTGTTCGAGAAGAAAGCACATCGGGGGCTCTTAGAGGCCAGCGCGGACGCCACAATCGGGGGGCGAGCCGCGCGGCGACCCTACGGCTCTCGTGAGGTGCTGACTAGGGGCGGGTGCGCGTGCACCACTGACTGCGCCAGCCCGGGGTCGGGCGGAGGCAGTGAGGTGGGCGGAGCCGCCCCGTAGCCCCTAACAAAGGGCGATCTCATTGCCGGGTGGGAACTGTGAGTTGGTGCCAGAGTCCTATGAACTCAGTATATGAAACGTGTCTAGAGAGTGTTGAAGTACCAGCAAGCAATAGAATTCTGACAAGGCTGTAATTTGAGGCTTGGAAATGACCAGGTTAAGTGTCTCTTGAATTCGTAGAATTTCTGTTATAGATTCTATCTTAACATAATTTATGCTTAATAAAGTCTTTAAAATCGGCATTTCTACGGTAATTATACTACTGACTACTAAATAAGAGGAAGAAAATTTGTGGTGTGTATGTTTTATAATTTGAAATAGGCATCATATCAAAGTTCTTTTGTGCTGTCTAATAGGATCCTGGAGATGGATTTATTTAATTTATTTATTTAGAGACAGAGTCTCTGTGTCGCCTAGGCTGGAGTACAGTGGCACGAACAGAACTCACTGCAGCCTTGACCTCCTGGGCTCAAGGGATTCACCCACCTGCAGGCGCACCACTACACCTGGCTAATTTTTAAATTTTTTGTAGAGACGGGTCTTGCCTTGTTGTCCAAGTTGGTCTGGAACTCCTGGGCTCAAGTGATCCTCCCACATCAGCCTCCCAAAATGTTGGGGTTACAGGCGTGACCCACCGGTTCGGGCCTGTTTGAATTATTTACTTCAAACTACAGCCAGGTGTCTGAGAGGAGCAGCAGGGGAGCCTCAAACAAATCTGCTGAAAATTTCCATCCATATGTAATAAGCTACTAAACACGATTTATTTGGTATTGTTTTTGAGATTTCATCAAATGCAGTTTGATAGCCTTCTCTGAATTAATCAGAAATTTTGGCCGGTTGTGGTGGTTCACGCCTGTAATCCCAGCACTTTGGGAGGCTGAGGCAGGGGATCATTTGAGGTCAGGAGTTTGAGACCAGCCTGGCCAACAAGGTGAAATCCCGTCTCTGCTAAAAATACAAAAATTAGCCGGGCATGGTGGCCGGCGCCTGTAATCCCAGCTACTGGGGAGGCTGAGGCACGAGAATGGGTTGAACCCAGGACGGGGAGGTTGCGGGGAGGTTGCAGGGAGCCGAGATTGTGAAGCTACACTCCAGACAGGGCGACGGGGAGACTTCGTCAAAAAAAGAAAACAGAAGTCTTGATTTGCGTTATTTACATTCTGCTTGTGTCTTGATGTTGTAGAAATTACAATCTCCTAGACCTGGGTGTTTTGGCTAATGTGATGATCACTTATGGTGAAACAGTTAAGCTTTTTGATAATGATTACCAGTAGGGTCTTAAAAGGTTGAATGAGGGCCTGGCACCATGGCATTTGCCTGTAGTCCGGTGGTTGGAGCGGGAGGATCCCTTGAGCCCAGGAGTTTGATGTTGCAGTGAGCAATGATCCTACCCCTGCACTCTAGTGGGAGTGACAGAACGACAACCTCTAAAAAAAAGTTAAATAAAATCTCTGAATTAACATAGAGAGTAATAACATTTTGTTCATGTGGGATTTGTTAATATAATAAATATGTTAATTTAATGCAGTCAACTATCAACATTTCGGGGAACCCTCAACTAAAGTGACCCAGATGCTAACTTCCAAAAGTCATTTATTTTATTTTTTATTTTTTTGAGACGCAATTTTGCTTTTCTTGCATAGGCTAGAGTACAACGGGGTGATTTCGGCTCACTGCAACCTCCGCCTCTGAGATTCTTCTGCCTCAGCCTACTAAGTAGCTGGGATTATAAGCATGCACCACTGGGCCTGGCTAATTTTATAGTTTTAGTAGAGACGGAGTTTCTCCATATGGGTCAGGTGGGTCTCAAACTCCCTACCTCAGGTGATCCACCTGCCTCGGCCTCCCAAAGTGATGGGATTACAGGCGTGGGCCACCAGGGTGGCCCAAGTCATTTTATTATAACGTTTTTGTTTCAGATTATAAAAGCAATACCTGACAGGGCTTGGTGGCTCACTTCTATAATCCCAGCACTTTGGGAGGCTGAGGCTGGAGGATCACTTGAGACCAGGAGTTTCAGACCACCCTGGGCAATATGGTCAGACACTATCTCTTTTAAAAAGGATAAAACTTAGGGTGCCGTGCCCACTGGCTCACGCCTGTAATCCTGGCACTTTGGGAGGCAGGTGGATCACGAGGTCAGGAAATCAAGACCATCCTGGCCAACATGACGAAACCCCATCTCTACTAAAAATACAAAAATTAGCCGGGTGTGGTGGCGTGCCCCTGTAGTCCGAGTTACTCAGGAGGCTGAGGCAGGAGAATCCCTTGACCCCAGGAGGCGGAGATTGCAGTGAGCCAAGATTGCGCCACTGCACTCCAGTCTGGGTGACAGAGTGAGACATGGTCTCAAAAAAAAAAAAAACAAAAAAAAGCCAGGTGTGGTGGCATGGGCCTGTGGTCCCAGCTACTCAGGAGGCTAAGACTGGAGGATTGCTTAAGCCCAGGAGGTTGAGGCTGCAGTAAGAGGTGATCACACCACTGCACTCCAGCCTGGGAAATAGAGCAACCCTATGTCAAAGAATAATAAAATACAGTAAAAGTAATACCAGTTAACCAAAGAAAAATTTAGAAAATATAGAGGAGGCTGGATGCGGTGGCTCACGCCTGTAATCCCAGCACTTTGGGAGGCCAAGGCGGGCAGATCACGAGGTTAGGAGATAGAGACTATCCTGGCTAACACGGTGAAACCCCGTCTCTACTAAAAATATAAAAAATCAGCTGGGCGTGGTGGTGGGCGCCTGTAATCCCAGCTACTGGGGAGGCTGAGGCAGGAGAATGGTGTGAACCTGGGAGGCGGAGCTTGCAGTGAGCCGAGATCACGCCACTGTACTCCAACCTGGGTGACAGAGCAAGACTCCGTCTCAAAAAAAA